CGGTGGCTTACAGGGAAAAGCCTCTGCGGGATCGCGGCAGCAACAGCGAGCCCCGTGCCCCTAGGTGGCTTCCTCGCGCTGCGAGCTCCTCGGGGCAGGGACCTGCCCTGTCTTCCTCGAGCCAGCCTGGCCCAGAGGGCGCAGCGCGTTTCAGGTGCAGGGCGCGCCTCGATCTCATAACTCAGCGGACGCGCTGCAAGCCGGGCGACCACAGGCGGGCCAGTGCCTGCCGCCTCCGCGTTGGATGGCACCGGCCAGGGAAAGCCGCTCTCGGCTGTGGGGCCCAGGCAGGCGGGTCACGGCCCGCTTGGAGAGGAAACAGCCCACGCCAGCCGCCCCCGGCCGTTCCCAGTAGGCCGAGGCACATGGTGGGCAGGTAGCTCGGCTGCCCACTTCCCCTTTCCGTGCACGATCAGGCCATGCGTGCGTCCCCGGGGAGTCCCCCCGACGGTGCAGCTGCAGCCTTGCCCGGAACCACCCCCTGTGCTGGCAGAGGGCCCAGCCTGTCCCACCCAGCAAGGGTGCTGACCTCGAAACGTGCCTCGGCGTCGATCCGAATCCAGGCCACGAACTGGCCCAGCCCCCTGCAGGAGCGGAAGTGCCCCGTAGCGCATCCGTGGGGCAAGATGCTGCGGCCTGCTGAGCTCTGGCTGCTTGGCGGGGGGAGTGCGCTCCCTCCAGGTCACCCGTACTCCTCCCCCCCCATCCCAGATGCTGCAGTTTGGATGACCGGCCCTTCTGGGGCATCGCTTGTCCCCGCAGCCCTTCAAAGAATCGACGTGCTGCCCCCAGCATCCCCACGAGACTGAATCGCAGGGTGAAGCCCTGGATTATGAGGGGCCGGGCCAGGCTGGATTTGGGGGGACAGGTTGGCCTGTGGGCGTGCGCATCCACAGGCCACAAAGGCAAGATCTAAAGGGCCAACACACACACACAGGCTTCTTTTCTGAGAGCTGATGAAAGGGCTGCCCTCTCTCCTGGACACCCCCCCCCCGTCCCTCTGGTGAGCCCACTGCAGAACTCGGGGTGGCTTTGCGTGCGTGGCGGGGGGCAAGCGGCATCTCCCGGTTGGTAGTACCAGTGGCCCCTTTGGCCTGCTGGCGCTGGGCCACATGCAGCCGGCACCTTCCGGGGGTTGAGAGCGGGAGGTTGCGCCCCCTCCTCTGCTGCCTGGCGGGGGCCTCAGGCCAAGGGAGAGCCAGCCTGGCCCTTCTTCCGCCTCCGAAGCCGCAGCGGAAAGGGGCTCGCTTCCCCCACTGCCCTTCCGGCAGCACTCAGCTCCCCTGCGGGGAGGCGTATTCGGGCCCCTCCATCCGTCGAGGCAACAGGAGTCCCCTGCTGCCACCCCAGGCAGGAGCCCCACTGGGGGAGAGCAGCCTGGCCCAGCTGCATCGAGGCGCTCGCGTGACGGCTCCCCGCTCCCCTCCCCTCCCCTCCCCTACCTTGCCCCCTTCCTCCTCGCCGCCTCCGGCTGGTGCCTCTCAGCCCGCCAGCATGAATGCTCTGGGGTGGCAGCGGGTCTGTGCATGTGTGGGGCGAAGGTGGGGCTGCTGCCCAGTGACCCCAGCTGGCCTTTGCTTGCCTGGAAGCAGTGGCACATGGGGAGGGGAACGTCCTCTGGCCCACCCCCTTTCGGGCAGCTGCCCTCACCGTTGCTGTCCCCCCCCCCCCTGGTCTCGAGCACCCCCCCACAGGCCTGCCCGGTCCAGGCACCTGCCTGCGCGATGCGGCTGCCGGCTCTTGGCCAGCCAAGCTCACTGGCTGAGGTGGGATCCCGCCGGGACACAGCGAGGGGCTCCTGCCCACCCCCAGCAGCAAGGAAGCAAAACGTGCAGCCGCGCCGGAGCACTGATCCTGCACCACCCCTGAGCACCGCTGTGCAACCAGCTCGCCTGCCGGGCGTGTTCCTTCCGCCTCTCTGCAGCCCGCTGCCCTCCCTCGGTGGCTTGGGGCACGGCATTCCACGGGCACGTCACGGGTCCCGCTGTGCCACGGAGCCCCACGTTGCCAAGGACGGCTGAGGTGGGGGGCACCCAGCCTTCCCCCCCCCTTCCTTTCCCTGCCAGAACAAGAGGCTCCGGGAGACCCAGCAGCCTCGTTTCGGAAGGAGCTCAATGTCTCCCCGAGGGAGGGCCACAGGTGGGGAGCCCCGTCCGCAGCGGGTGTCTGGCGCGCCACACAGCGATCCGTTCTCCTGGGACTTTATTCGACAGCTCAGGGACATTCCCAGTCCACCCACCTTGGCGGAGGGCGCAGCCTCCTCTCGGCAAAGGAAGCAAGGTCTGGCCCCTGCGGCGGACAGCGGCCCCGGGCCCTGGCACAAGCCCCCAGAGGCAGGAGACCGGAGCATGCGTGTCGCCCTTGCCCCCGATGCCACCGAAGGCTCCGCCGCACCTCTCTGCCCGCCCTGATGCCGGGTCTGGCGGAAGGGTTTCCTGGAGGAGAGGGGGTGCTGCCCCGTGGAAGTGGGGGGCAGCTGCAGCGCCGCTAGTGGCTTTCCCGCGGGGAGCAGGATCCTTTCCTGGGTCGAGGGTCTGCGAGGCGCCTCCTGCAGGGGCGGGCGGGCGTCTTCCAGGCTTGCGTGGCCACACTGGGGGGGACAGGCAGGGTCCCCTCCTTCCGCCACCGCTTGCTGCTCCCCCAGCTGAACGCCACCGTCGCCCCCGCGTCACTCCCGGCCCCCTCTTGGCAGCCGCGGGCCACGTGCGGGGGGCAGGGCGGCTCGGCGTGCATGGCCCCTGCAGGCCAGCCATGCTGTTGGCGACGTGGCCTCCGCCACAGGGTCGAAAGCGCGTGCCTAGGTCTGGGGTGCTTTCTCACAGATGAATCGAGAAGTCGAGTCACAGCGTCTTCTGGACAGGCGCCCGTCACTCAGTACTCCACAGTCTCCACTGTACCAAGAATTCAGCTCCCTGAAAGACAGGAAGCCTCCGTCAAGGTCGCAGGGGAGCCCCCCTGACTGCCCCCCTGCTCCATCCCGGAGCGGCTCTGCGCGCATGCAACCTGCGACAGGCCAGAGACCGCGCATGGCGCTTCCCTCGGTCTGCGGAAGAGGAGGCCGCCCTGCTCCCCGGGGCCAGCCAGCCTCTCCCGCGTGGCCGGCTCTTGAGCAGGGCACAGGGGCTTCCGAGGGACAGAGTCCGACGGGCGCGGATGCCACGCGTCTGCAGGGCCCCCCCCCCACGAGCTGCTCTCCGATGGGCTCCCCTCCAGTTGACCTGCATCAGTTCCAAGGAGCCAAGGCTCCTGAAATACGATCCGATCCGGGAGAAGAAGGGTGGAGGGTCTGTCTATTCCACGTGCCCCTGCCCCATGTGGGCAGGAGAGCTTGCAGCTGGCCCCCGTCACCCCAAGTCCACTTCCTGGCCTGCTTCTCCTCACTTGCCTGTCCAAGGGAGCACCGTCACCCCAAGTCCACTTCCCGGAGTAAGTGCTGTAACTTAGTCCGATCCAGTAGGTATTTAGGTACTGGTGAGAATTCTAGAAGGAAAGGTTAGCCTGTTCGCCCGTCCGGCTGGGGCCCCTTCCCAGGGAGGGCGGTCCCTTTGGGGAGGGGGGTCCCCCTGGGGTCTGGCTGCCCTCCAGTCCAGAACACAGAGCTTCCCCGAGGGGGGAGCACAGCCTGCGCTGGGAGAGGCTGCCCCTCTGAGGGGGCCTCCTGGCCCTGCCCCACTTCTTGGCGGTGTGCTCCACCGTTTCCCCCAAAAGGAAACAGCACGGGGGGGAGGGGGGGCTCTGTCCTTTTGGGATGCCCAGTTCGCCAGGCGTACAGCTTGGCCGTGGGAAGCTGAATGGGTGGGTACTGCCCTTCTGGTCAGACCTGCCTTCTCCAGGCTGGTGGCTCCCAGGTGGAGTTCACCTCCCATCATCCCCAGTTGGCCAGGGCAGCTCTGGAAAGCGCACAGCTGCAGGGGGCAGTGCCAGCTGCAGAACGCCATCGCTTCCGGGCCTCTGCGCTGTCTCGGGACCGTGTGGCTCGACCTTCCTCGAGCCCCTTGGGTCACCCAGCCTTCCCAGGGCAGGACGCAGAGCTGCCTCCTGCGAGCTGCTTCTGGCCCACACCAGCGCGGCTGGTGGCCCCCGCCCGGCCCAGCCCGGCCCACCCAGTGGAGCCCTAGCACCAGACCAGTCCTTCTGCAGCCCACAGATCTTCAGGATTCCAGGGGCTTCTTAAGATGGCCAGCTGCGATGTTTTCCACCGACAAAAAGTTATGCTGTCTTTCCAAGACTTTCGATCCGTTGAAATCCAGAGGCATTTGCGCCGGAAGAGTACCCACCCCGTGGAGCAGCAGCCTGGCGAAGAAAAGGCGAAGGCGGTGGAGGCTCGGCCGCTTGCGGGGGCGCTCCAGTCTCGCGCACTCGGCCTGGCTCAGAGACGGGCTGGTCCGGAGCCAGCCGGTCCCCAGGGGCTCGCTGCCCAGCTTTTGCTCCCTTTGGGCAGCATGGCGGCCCGCAGAATGAGGCCACCTGCTGCCGTGGACCTGCGGAGGCGCCTTCTGCCCGCTGATGCGCCCCTGCCAGAGCTGAAGGCCGGGCCACCGAGCGGCTTGCCCCGCAGCCCAGACGCCCCCGCGGAGGCCGTCTTGAGGCCGGGCGCCTCAGCTCAGGATGAGCCACTCCCAGGAAGAGCCGGCGTGGCCTGGTGGCGGAGTGCTGGCCCGGGGTCCCAGGGGATGCAGGTCCTGGTCCCCGCTTGGCCACGGGGCTCCCTGGGGGGCGTTGGGCCGGTCACCCGCTCTCAGCCCGACTGCCTCGCAGGGCTGTTGCGGGGACACAACGGAGCCACGCAGGCGCCCCGGCTTCCTGACAAGAGGAGAAAGTAGGATTTTTGCCAGGTGATAACTATAATGCCAGGCAGCTGGCAGACGAAAAGCAAGTGGTTCCAGGGAAGGGAGGAGGGAATGGGGGGAGGGAGTTGGGGGCCCTCCTCTTCCCACACGGTCACCGGGAGCTGCTCCCCAAGGAGGCACCCGGCGTGCCATCCCCCCCACACCAAGGGGAAGCGCCTCGGTGCAGGCACGGGGATGGAGGGGGCCTTTGAGAAGCGGGCGGCCGCTCGCATGGCTCTGGCCAGGAGGGCTGGGTTTCCCCTCCATGGCTCACTGGCAGCGGACTTGCCGCTCGGCCCACGTCTCGCCCTGGACTCAGAATTGGACTCGCCCTTCCCCCAGTCAGTACTTTTTCCTGCATCCCTGATAAAACTTTTCCCAGTTTGCAGCAAAGCCTTGGCCCGACCCCTGCAGGCGAGCGCCAACTGCACCCACCGATCTTCTGGCGCGCTTCCTCCAGTGACGCCCGCAGCTCCTCCACCACCTTCGCCTGCTCCTCCAGGGCCTTCGTCTGCTCCTCCAGGGCCTTCTGCTGCTTCGTCAGATTGAGGCTCGCCTGGCTCAGCACCGCTTCCCGCTGCTCCAGCACCCTCTGGGTCCTGTTCGCCTGCATCCGGCTCTCCCAAAGTCCCACCCGGGTGGCGTTGAGCTCTGACTCGGCCTCGTGCAGCGACTCCTGCAACTGCTCCAGGCTCTCCTCCCTGGCGTGGATTTTCTCCGTCAGGACGAGGCTGTGTACCCGGCGGGCTTCGGACTCCTGCTGGAGGTGCTGCGAGAGCTGCCCGTCTGCACGGCAAGGCGAGACTGCCATGAGGAGCCTGGCTGTCCCCCGGGGAAGGGGCCACCCCGGAGAAGGCCGCGTGGCACTGGTGGAAAAGGCACCGCGGCTCCGTGAGCTGCTGCGCTCGGCTCGGCATGGGCTTGGCTAGCAGGGCTGCAGGACCGGAGTTTTGCGCTCGGAGGCGAAGAGGGCCGGCCGACCGACCGGCAGAGCCACGCCTGCGCAGAATCCCCCCTCACCCGTTCCCCGTTTGGGATGGGCGGCTTGGAGCAAGGCGTCTGCTACTCACAGTGGAGCCCGAATCCGATGGTGGTGGCGAGGAGAAAGATGCACGTGCCCGTGAATGCCCAGACCACATACCAGGTTTTGCGACTCCACCCTGCAAGGGAAACCCAGGCGACTGAGCTGCCTGGGAGGCTGCAGCGCTCGGAGGCTGGGGCTCTGCCCACTCAGGGGGTGCCTCGGGGGCAGGATGCCGCCTGCCCCTGGGGGAGGGCTGCCCGGACACCACCCACCTTCCGGGCACTGCAGTAGAGCGGGCAGGCACACGGGCGAGGAAAGGGAAAGGCCGACCCGGTGCACGGCCCGTCTGGGGCGCGAGGGAGGGAGGCCTGGACTCTTCGGAGAGAGCAGAGAGGGCTGTGGCGGCGGAGTCTGCCAGCTGCCGCCCGAGGCTGCGGGTGGAGGGGGGGCCGGGCTCCGGGATCTGCACGTGCCCCCGCTGACCGGCCAGCGTCCCCAAGGCCGACGGCAGCGCTCATCAGTGCTCACTGTCAGCACTCGAACCCGGCAGAATGGACGTGCTAAAGCTACCAAGGAAGCGAATCCAAGGAGGAAAGGCATGGCGGGGGGTGATTTCACGAGGAAGAGCCAAAAGCCGCCCAAGGCCAGTGACGCCAGCGACCCGGCATGGGAAGCCCTTCCCAGTTCCAGTTCAGTGTGACGGAGATGAGCCCCGCTCCTGGGATGGGGGTGCCACGCAACCCGCCTCCCTGCCGGCGGAGGGGAGGCTCCAGGTGTGGAGGCACCTCCCCCCCTTGCTGGCAGTGCCGGGCCCCATAGGACGCAGGAGCGCAGCCCCAGGGCTGAGCGGGAGCTGGGCGGGGCCGCCGTGTGCTCGGGCCCGGCCAGCTCCCCGCTTACCTTGGGAGGGCTGGGAGCCACTGGGCGCGCTCTCGTCCCCCGGCCTGGCTACCTGGACGTTCTCGTAGGTGAGCTCTGCCTCGCTTGCCTCTGGAGGAGAGGAGGGGGCGGCGTGAGTGGGGGGAAGCTGAGCGGGGTGCGGCTGCCCTGCCCAGGGGCTGCAATGGAGGCGCCGGATCGGTGGGGAAGGGGCCAAGGGGGCACCAAGAGCTGTGCAGGGCAGGTCGAGGTCTCAGCCAGGCTGGCCACGCCTTGCCCCGGGCTGGCCTTCGGGCCAGTTGCCCACTGCGGCCGGAGTGGCTGTGCACAGGGGGAACTGTTGGGGTGCCTTTCTGGGGGCGCCTTTCTCCCCCAGCCAACGATGCCTGGAGCTCCGGTGCTTATAGCAGCTCCTGGCCGGCAGGTGACTCCTGCTCCAAGCCCTCCTGCATTTCCCTCCTGCCGCCGCCGCCTCTGGCTGAGAAAGGGAGCAGCACTGCAGCAAGACCACGAGCGTGGAGGGGCAGGCGGGGCAGAGCCTCTGGACAGCGCTCTGGGGGTCGGCGCGAAGGCGGTGCCGCTGCAGCTCCGAGGAATGCTCCGCTGCGTAGCCCCCCACGCCCCATCCAGGCATCTGGAAGTAAACCCAAGCGTTCCCGGGTGCTCCGAAGCCACCACTTCTCTCCCCCTGCAAAAGGGACCAGACGCAGGTCAGGGCTGCCCTGGCACCGCTCACCACCTGGGGAAGCTGGGCCCCACGGAGCCGTACCTTCCGGTTGCGTCCTCCCGGGGGGGGCGCCTCACAAACTTCAGGTCGGCATAAGTCACACCCTCAGACATGCTGAAGGTCGGGGACCCTCGGAAAGAGCAGTAGCAGCAGAAAGAAAGTCTTCACTTGCATCCGCTTCACTCCCTTCCTTCCAAGCAGTTGTGAGAAGGAACTGATACTTGCGAGCAGAAGTCTATCTTTACCAAAAACCCCCCCCCCCCCCGAGCACGAAGCTGGACCTCCCACACAGTAGCCCTGAAAGTGGAAGTCCCGTCATGTGTCTTCACTGTCGCGCCACTTCACTCCCCGGGGAGAAGCGACCGCGGCTGACGGATCCCCCCAGCCCTGCAGATTGGAGGCTGCCCCTCCGCATTTCCCCGCCACATTCTGGCCCTCCTGCTCCCCCTTCAAGTGCCAGGGTGAGGATGCACCCGGCGTGCAAGTGCCCTGCGGGATACCATGACGGAGCAGCCGAGGGCTGATGTGCTCCGGTCGCACGCATGAAAGCATTACCAAATCTGCTCTTCTTCCGCTGGGCAGACCACAGCGTTTCCTCCCAATTCTTCCCAGCCCCTTAACTCCATCTGCCAGAGAAGGCCTCAGGAACAGGCAACAGCAGGAGAGGCCAAGCAGGGCAGTGGGGTGCCTGTGCCCCGACACTCCGGGAACCGGGGGCCACCCCTGCTGGGACCAGGTGAGAGGAAGGCTGGGGTCCGAATGGAACTGGCGAGCGCTGGGAGTCATGCCCGTGGGGGCCAGGGGCCAGGCCCACTGCTTGCTCTGCGAGCTGAGGCCGTGGCGTTATCACCCTGCCTCATGCAGGGATGCTTCCAAGGTTTGGGCGGGACGGAGTGTCCAAGCGTGATCGCCTCCGGCTCACGGGTGCGCTGTGGTTTGCTCCTGCCTCTCGTGCTCCCAAGAGGAGCTCCCGGCGCGTCCTGGTTCCTGGCCCTGGGGGCCCTTCTCTGGAAGTGCCGTAAGGATTGGGAGGAGATGCCCCAACGCGCTCCGAGCATTACGCAGATCTTCAGGGAATCAAATGCTAAAGGACACGTGTCCGCACGTGGTGTGCGAGCCAAATGAAGGGCACCTGGTAAGGGGAAGGGCTGATGGGGGCAAAGGGGCCTGGGACACCACAGCAGAGCATCACACGATGCAGGTGTGGAGAAAGTGGGCGGGGAAGAGCTTGAATGGGAGTCTTTTTATCGTGCTGTCAGTTTGCGTACTTCCAGCAGGGCGTGTGTTGTGCATGGCCACGCTCTCCGTGTAGCAGAAGCTGCCTCCTGATGTCGCTGTTTGCAGCCCCACTCGTGCCGGGTGCTGTGACCGGGTGTGCCGGGCACTGTCTAAGCGTGCCCCCGTCTGAACCGTGAGGCAGAAACCTCCACGCAGTGGGGCTTCCAGTGCCGCGCCAGGCGGAAGCTGGGAGGGCAGCGGGAGCAGTGGGGCAGGGCTTTGCCCCCCTATCCTCTGCTAGACTGGCTTTGTTGCCTGTCCTGGTATGGCATGGGGGGGGGGGGGCTCTGGAAGCATCTCCGGGAGGGCAGATGTGCTGCCTTTTCCAGTCTCCTCCCCTCCATCCACCAAAACGTTCCTTTCCCCCTTTCCAAAGGCGATTTTTCAGCCTTGGAGGCCAGACAGCACATGGTGCTTCCCACACTTGGCTGCAAGCGGGCAGGGGAGTGGGGTCAGGTCTCTGGCTCTCCCTTCTGAGGCCAGAGCACTCTCCCTGGCCCCCGAGGGGCAAAGCCCCATTCCACAGCTCCTCAGATGATAGCCAGGGCAGCAGGTTGCTCCTTTCAGCTGCAAGTTGCCACAAGATGCTTTACTTCTTTTGTGCTGCACGGAGAAGGTTCAGCTAGGAAATTGCTGGGCAAGGGGCTCTGGCTGGACAGAAGAAAATGCTTCCACCGTTATCATCATCACTTGTCACATTTCTGTATCACCTGCAGCTGAAGCGCTCTAGGTGGTTCACAACAGAATATAAAAACGGTAACATACAATACAATACATAAGACAGCATTTCAAACATTTTAAAATTAAGTGAAACAGCATTGAAGTACATCAAATAAAACGAAAAAGACCTAGCCAAGAAGAAGAAGAAAACCTTCTGGATAAGCCCATCGGGACCCCGGGCGACCAGGGAGCTCGTTAAAGGCCGCACGAGCAGGGCTGCCTTCGCTCGCTGCCGACAGGACGGCAACTCTGGCCCCGGGCGGCCGCGGCGGGGAGGCTGCCGCGAAGAGGGGGCCGCGCAGCGCGCTCCTCCCTCCAGAAGGGGGCGCCCG